GTCTGCGGCTCAGCTGCCACCAGGACTTCAGCTGGTGCCTTACGGACTCATCCTGACCTCCTCAGACAGATGCTGGCCAGGGGGGACCCGGCATGGCCACAGCACGGCGATGCTGCCCACCGCACGCTGCAGTCATGTACCACCCGAAACCAGGGACCTGATCAGATCAAAGAGGGAGCCAAGGGGCTGGGCTCCACTGGCACCATGGCCACAGGTTTCACCGCTACTGATTACCCCCAAGCTCTCCCCCAAAAAGCGACATCTTGCCTCCCCATCCCCTGACCCACCTGCCGGGTTAGAAGCCGCTCCCTGGCTCGGGAGCCACAGCCCGCCTAGGAGAAGGGATGCCGGGACTGAAACTCAGGCAGGGACCCACTGCTGCTCCTGCCTGCAAAGGGGAGAGCAGGACCCAGCGCGACCAGGGACCCCAGGGACGGACCCCAGCCCTCCTCCCCAACCAATCAACCCCAGTAGGTAAGGGGGGGCAGGGACTGGGGGCACTGGGCAGAGCACACATCTCACAGTGAGCGCTGTTAATGGAAAAGGGAAAAATAAAAAAAAAGTAAGAAGTACCAGGTGTTTTATTATCTAGGGCAAGATCCGAACCCAGGAGCGCAGCCCGAGGAGGGGTTAGGGTGCCTGAGAGGGGCTGGTTACCTCCAGTGCTGCAGAAGGCTTCTTTTTGAGTTCTTCACATTTTCGGAATTTGCAAATCTGGTGGCCAGTTTTGCGATTCCTACAACTGCTGCACTGCTCGCAGTTTATCCGTCTTCGGCAAGGCGGGCACATGCCGCATCTTTTCCGTTTCTTTTTCCCCGAATTGATGGCAGATGCCAACTCATTCTGCATGGGATACTCTGCCAAGCCAGCCATATGGAGCGCGCTCTCTGCCAGAAACACGCCGGCAGGGGTCATAATGAAAAGGCCTGGGTTGATGGGAAAAGCCCCCAGGTAAGGAAAATCAGAGGGGCCGTTCATTGTCTCTGCAGCTGAGACTGCCTCCATGTCAGAGAGACCAGTCCCGTGGTCGCTTGCTAGAGGAAGATGCTCCTGTACCACTCTTTTGAGCATTTCTGTTTGTTGAGCAAACTGTTGGAGGGCGGTCTGTCCTTCTGAGGAGATCTCCGACATCCGGTCTAATTTGCTCAGCATACTAGAGATGTTTTTGTGCTTTGAGGTAGAATGACTTTTATCCACAGTCGCATCGTTGCCGTTAGCTAAGGGGTTGCCTTTCTCTGAATGTTCGCTTACTGAGCTGCTGCTACCAAAGGTGGAATAGTGGGAGAGTGGACGGGATTTCTTAAGACTTTTGTTCAAAGGTTCACTTATTATTCCACTTTTGTTCCTCCTCTCAGAGTTGACGGGGGGTTGAGAGTCATCTTGGTTATTTTTTTCCGTCTCTGGCTTGTTCCCAGTGTCTTGATGGGAGCCCGAATTTGACATGGTGCCCAGAGCACGAAAAAACCAAACCCAAAAAAAAAAACCCAAACAAAAAAAAACCCCCAAAAAACCAAAAATAACCCCCCAAACCCACCCCCAACGCCTAAAAGCGAAAGACCCCCCAAAGCCCTTCTGGTAGCACCAGCCCGCCAGCCACCGGGAAAGCTCAGACGGGAACGCTCATCAACGGGGCGTCTCCTCCGTGCCGGCTGCAGGGGACCTCAGTCCGAGCTCAGTGCAAAGACATATTCTGCGGCTCTGGTACACAACACGCGGCTCTGGAAGTAGAAAAGAAAAGCGAGTTAGCGCTGGCAAGAGCCAATGGGCTTTTCAAAGCGTCTCTTCCTCCCCCTGCCATGAAAGTCTCAGTGCCGCAAACAAAGAAACTCCAGGGAACAGACCTCACTGGAGATCCATTCCACTGCTCTCTAAAAGGGTCTCCATCCAGCCAGAAACGGGGGGTCACTGGGGGAGTCCTGGCTGGTAGCAATGGCACTCGGTGGCTTAAAGGCTCTCTGTGCCCGGCTCTCCTCCCCCAGGGACCGCAGCCCCAGGGAAGTCACGGGGCTCAGCCCCTGCTCCGCTCCAGCAGTGTGCAGACCCCACACCCGACGGCACCGCGCGTGCCCACGGGATGCCTGAGCCGGCAGCTGGAGCTAGTGCAAGGTGTGCCCGGTCCCCACCCGTGTGTCCCCCACCGGGTGCCGTGGACGCAGCAGGGTGCAGGGCTGTGCCCCAGCTCCCGCATCCTCCAGGGTGATGCTGTCCTCCTCACCCTCCTCCTCCTCCTCTTCCTCCTGCTCCCTCTAGACCCTTGTCCCACCAGTGCCACCAGTGCTGGGCAGGGGAAGGAAGCCCCATGGGGAGCTGCAGTGTCCATCTCAGAGCCCTGCAGGGAGCCACAGCGTCCACCTCCAGACCCCATGGACAGCCATGGTATCCACCTCCAGACCCCATGGAGAGCCATGACACCCACCTCCAAACCCCATGGACAGCCATGGCATCCACCTCCAGCCCCCATGGAGAGCCACCACGTCCACCTCCAAGTCGCAGTGTCCACCTCTAAGCCCCACTGCCGCCTTCCAGCCACACCCCAGTGCGTGCCCACCGCAGCCGCCCGGCTGCTTTGGCACAGCCAGGGGCTCGCTGGCGTCGGCGAAAGCCCCCCCTTGGCACCACTCCCTGAAGCAGGGATGATGACGCCGCTCCCAGGGCGGCGCGGGGGAGCTG